AGATGCCTGGAAGACAGCGGTGCTACAGATTCTGGATTACTACCAGGAGCGTGCTGAGGGCAGCTGGATTGAACAGCGACACTGTTCACTCGTCTTCCATTACGGATCCGCGGAAGACCAGGTAGCGGCTGCACGACTGGCGTCAGAGTGCGCTGGGCACATCAATGATGCCTGTGCCAACCAGGGCGTCCATGCCATTCCCGTGGAAGGAGCCCTTGTGGTCGAGCCGATGGGTACGAACAAAGCGTCGGCGACGGAACTGGTGTGGCGGTCGTGTCTCAAACAGAGCCAGCAGGATCAGAGCGTGGCCCGTCCTGATTTCTTGTTGGCAATTGGAGACAGTCGCGACGACGAGCCTGTATTCCGATGGGCCAATAAGCTGGAGAGCGCACAAGCGATTAACCACGTCGTGACGGTAACACTGGGCTCTCGGAGCACAGAAGCCAGGGCTACCCTAACCCAAGGTGTAACTGGTAAGGCTTCTAGCTCTGCATGCTTTCACGTGATTGTGACAAGTGGCTAACTCATTCAACAGGAGTCTTGTCGTGCTTGGAACGATTGGCTGAGCACAAGTCGTAAATGACTCTCCATGCATATCCCAACGCGAACCCGCACATACAAATACACATACGCGATGACGCATACATCCATAAGCACACGATGACACGATTACAGGACAAACAATTTCACATCTGCATAGGCATGAGTACACGGATACATGCAAAGAGGTGGTCGGCCAACCGCGGGGTTCTTCTAATCGCGGACGTACAGCACCATGCTTGACCTTACAATGGAAAGGACAATTATGCCAGTCTCGTAGGCAAGCCGAGTAACAGGGACTAGAAAAGTAGTTAGGGAATTCTAGAATGGGCTGGTGCTAAGGACAGAGAGGATCGGTTGGAATTGTTCCTTGAGTTGGAAATCCTGGCGTTCACTACTAGACCGACCTTGTTTCTAGAGTAGTCAGTGCAAACCATAATTAGTCAATTAGAGAAACTCATATTAATTTGAGTGTATCAAAATATTTTTTGAAGTATGTACCGGACATATCGACGAATACAAGACTTTGCTATATACAGCTTGTACAGTACAGTACAGTACAACTCGCCCCTCGCCATACCTACATTATCTGTCGCGTGTTTTCTCCGCTTTTCATTACGGCTGAACAGCCGAGGTTCACGGCTCATTGCGACATCCGTCAATACTTCCCTTCCCCGTCCCAAGAGTTCGTCTATCGCTTGTCCCTATTTCCTAATCCCTGTCTCTTTATCAACTCATAACGTCTATGTGCAGGACATACGGCCTGTAGATTTTGCTGCTGGCTTGAGTACCATACGAAGGGGAAGGATTTGAGCGCGTCCGAACTCTATGAACGAGATGGCGGTAGCACCTCCGCACGGAACCGCCTTTGAGGCCGCAATCCAAGTCAAACCCATTAACTCACATCAGTACTCGGCCCATCTCCGGCAGGATTGGTGCATCGGAGCTGGTAAGAGATCATACCCATTGTTTGGAGTGTGTTGATCGGCAGCGACGCCACTTTTTTCGCTCTCGTCCCATAATTCCTACCATACACTGACAAGGAACCACAAAACAGTGCCGCATGGAGGCTATACGAGTGCCATCCTCTACCGCCTGGCGCTGACACACTTTGCTCATACGCATCCGCTGCAGTATCGTGGTCCCGCCACACCGATTGCCATGCAACTGACCTTTCTGCGCCGGACGGCGGTGGGACCTGCCTTGCTCAACGTGCAGGATGTCAAGCTCGGGTCGCGGACGAGTACGATTCACGTGACTCTGACACAGGCCCGGAATTCGGGCAGAGGGGCCGGTTCGGAGGAGGCCGCTCCGGAAGAGCAAGAGCTCAAGATAGCGGGGTATATCACAGTCAGTCCAGCTCATGCGGAGGTTGGGTTGACGGCCCCAACGGGCTGGATGCCCCTGCCAATGCCGGCAAGGGGGTCGCGGCCCGATGGAGGTGTCGATCTGGTGGCGTTGGGGGGGTCAGGGCGCGACGGCGAGTGGGAGCGGATCAAACTGCCGTTTCCTGAGTTCCGGCGCGCGACGCAGCATGTGGATTTGTACGGTCCCCGACAGCCCAAGACCATGGCGGCTGTGGATCAGTGGGCTCGATTCCGACCGGAGGGTGATCAGACGGCGCGCTGGTCGAATGAAGCGTTGGTGTACCTGACTGATACCTTTCCCCTCGCGTTGTCGGGGCTGGATCAGAGGGCTGCGACGGCAGCAGGCGACGGCGAGGCCGGTGGTCGGCATTGGTATCCGACGGTGGCCTTGAACATCGATTTCAAGAAGCGGCTGCCAGCTACGGGGGAGGCCTGGTTGTACAGTCGAGTGCAAACGGTGTCGGTGCGGGACGGTCGGACGGACCTGGGGGTGACCGTGATGGATGCAGCGGGGCAGGTGGTGGCCGTGGCGACGCAGGTGGGCTTGGTGGTGAGCGCGAGCCGCAATCTAGGACGTCAGCCGAAGTTGTAGAGGTCTTTGAAGGGGTCTCGAGTGTGTGTATATCAATAGATAAAGCATCCCTATCTTCAGTAAAGGTATATAGACAAATGAAGAGATATACATAAATCTATCTAGCTAGCATCAATATATGCAGGAAAATCGGAAGGGATCGCATTCTATCGACAGGCTCTTTGCGCTGTGCGAGGCCTTGAGTTCTGTGAGATGGCACCTGAGACGCCACGCGATTCACAAGGCTGCTTTCGTTTGAAGCCAAAAGGCAATTGCATCGGTTGTCACGCGTAGCGGGTCCTCGGCCGTCTCGCCTGGCTGCAGAATTTGAGCATGCACCCAGAACTTGCGACCTACCCGAGCCAATACCTTGGCCTGGACAAGCGCATAGCCCGGGACGGCGACGGGTACGCGATAACGAATGTCAAGCTGGGCAGTGTACAGCATGCCGCGCGGGTGGTGGGCGAAGAGAGCCCCGGCGGCGCCTGTCTCGGGGGCGTGCAATGCAACGGCATAGGACATGGCCTCATCGATACAGGTCGCCAAGAGACCGCCATGAGCGGTCGAGGGATGACCGGAAACCCCTGGGGTGGCTAGCTGCAGGACTAAGTAGAGATCTGGGTTCTCAATTCGAGACACCGAGTTGGGAGCGGGCCAGACGGGGGCAGTATCAGGGAGGGGTGCGAGCAGCTCCGGTTGGCGACGAAGGGTGCAGACATGGGGAATCGTCAATGGGGAGGCCAGTGTACTGGCAAAATAGCCATCCTCACCTGAGTCGGATTTGAAAATGCGGGACCAGGTGCGGATGGGAAAGTAGTCGGGATGATGCAGCAACCGGGTCACCACCGGGGGAACGGCCGCCCGAAATGGTTCGAGGGCGGGGGGATGTGGTTGATTGAGGATGGATGTCGAAGGGGACATGACGTGGGTCAGGATCTGGGGTTATGGAAGAAAGGGGAAAGGAGAAAGAAAAGAAGTACTAATTAATCTACCCCGAAGTTAGTTGATGCGACAGAGAAGAGGATGGATTGGATGTCAGAAAGTATTCTTCTTATCTGGATAAGAGGAGGGATGGTCAGGTATGGGTGAGGTATATATTACAGTTTATACTTGGGACAAGATATCTATCTGGCTGTGTACAGTACAGTATTGTACAGTATTAGGTAGTTGGTTTTGTTTGCCCTTTATCTCTCGCGCTCTCTCTCTCTCTCTCTCTCCCTACGGAGTGGTTCGCTTCTGCTTTGGATCCTCGGCTACGGAACTCCTCGGGTGATCTACTGTAGTTACAGTCCTCAGTCCCTCTTTTATTGCCATGGTACTGTACTACGTACTACCTCTCTGAACTGTAACAGCAAATCACTTTCACTGGCATCACTTTTGAAGTTCCATTTTCTATTTCCATGATGAGTGGGCAGCTATGTCTTTCCATTCAAATAATCTACTCAAATTATTGGCAACTGAGCGACTGAGCCCGAGTCTACCGAGTCTACTGAGTGGCAGCAGGGCAGGAACAAACTCTTTAGTGCCGGCCCTAAACCAAGGCCCCCAAACTCAATTGGGCCTTCCTTCTGCTTATCAACCTCGCACTCACTTGCAGTGGTTCCACCAACCTCCAACCTCTCTTCATTATTCATACCATACCACTGGGCTGGGCAACATTCCTGGCCCAAAGGCAGGGAGACAGGACAAGACACTATGTATACTTACTGGATAACAAACTGAAACCCAAAGAGAATAGGGGAGACTGTCCTCTCCCCTTCCCCCGCCACAGCTGCAGGAAGGAGTTCCATCTTGCGCATTGCACGCACGGCCTACTTAGTGGCAGTGAACGAGTTTCTCTTTTGTTCGCCCGTTTCATTTCATTTCAACTCGAACCAAGCTCCCCTCGCATCCTAGGGTAGCCTTGACCAATTAAATCAGTAACTAGAAAGCGTAAAAACAAGGCACCAGCCATACTAATAATTTCCCGCCGGACAATAATGGGGATGAATCCAGTGAGTGCCAAGGGCTGGCTCCATCTCCTCATTCATCATTGACAACGGAGTCGACTAGTCATCTAAGACTACTCACTAGTGCACCGAAAATTCCCCAGTCTGGTTATTATTGATCGTAATGCTAGTAATCTGGGTGTAAGTATCTGGTTTCCAGATCATGCGGGAACCATCAATGAAGACCACGATTGAAAAATTAGAACTAGAATTGAAGGAAAAGAAGAGCAGCGCGCGTGTGCATGTAGAAAAAGGGGATATTGAAAAGCAACCAAAAAAGAAAAACAAAAAGAAAAACAAAACAAAACAAAACAAAAACACGAAAAATCTAGAAAAGGAGGGGGAAATAGGAACTTACCTAAATTGAAAAAAAAAATAAACATATACACAAACTAAGTAACTTGAGTAACTTGGAACTTAAGTCACTACCGGTAACTCAGGTATGCAGAGAAAGACTGGAGAAGGAAGGATGGATCTAAACTGGCTGTGGCACCTTCTCTCCTCTCCTCTCCTCTCCTCTCCAACCTGTTAATAGCATTATTGTTATTACCGCCGGACTGCTGTAAATAGCTGTAGCTGAAGCTGTCGCGGTAGCTGCTGTTGCTGCTGCTGTTGCTGCTGTTACTGCTTTACCCTCTTGGCTTAGCTTCTTTCCTTCAGCTTCCTTTCTCCTCTCTTCCTGCTCTCTTATCATCAATTCTTCTTCTCCCTCTCCTCTTTCCTTTCCTTCTTCTCCTCTCTTCTCCTCTTCTTCCTTGTAAAACTTCTGCCGTTCCCCCTTCCCCTCCCCAGAATAGTAGCGTCTCTTTATAACTTCTATTACGTACACCTGCTCTTCTTACCTTGCACGTCTCTTTACTGCGACTGTGATATACACATCACCATCCTACCCTCGCCCATTCGAATATCTACTTAATCACTTTCATCATGTTGGCCTCCTCGCTCTTCGCCCTCGGTCTGGTCGCCTCGGCCACCGCCGCTTCTACCGGCAACTACACTCTACCTGATGGGTTCGACCTGAACGCCATCTCCTCTGGCACCCGCGGTATGCTAGTATGCGATGTCGTCTTCCTCACCCTTCACTGACTCGTTGATTCTAGCCTCTTGGTGTACCGCGGAGCGCAACTCTTGCCCTGAGATTTGTGGTGGAGTCGCTACCAGCAACTCCTGCGACTCGGTAAGCGCATAGCCGAACCAATTGAAGAGAACGAACCGCTCACCATGTCGCGACAGACTACCTTGGACTTCTCCTGCATCTGCTCCAACGGTTCCGCCGCCGACGTGTCGCTTTATGCGCAGACCGTCCCCTTCTTCGTTTGTCAGGCCAATTATGCCCAGTGCATTAGCAACTCGTCCAGCTTGACTGAAGAAGAGCACTGCAAGGACTATGAGAAGACCTGTGGCACCCTGAATGCGTCGGCTGCCTCGACCACCTCGTCCACCACCTCGAGCGCCACCAGCTTGACTACGGCTACTAGCACCAGCACTAGCTCTGACAAGTCTACCACGGCTACCGGGACCAGCACCTCGAGCAGCACTAGCAGCTCGTCCACGGCCAACGCTGCCGTTCGTTTGGCCCAGGAGCATGCCACCGGTCTGTTGGCCACCGCATTGTTTGTGGGACTGCGCCTGGTGTTGTAAGTGAAAGAATTGAGAGCGAAAACGACCCGAAGGAAGGGGCGTGTTATGTGCAAGCGGGTCAACGAACACCAACTGATTGGGACCGTTCGCATATTTTAATGCCTGTGGGTGTGGGGTTAGAGTGCTAATTCTGCCTTCCAAGACATTTCTCCGAGTCTGTGTAGTGGTAATACCATGTTTCAAGGGGAGGAAGGGTGATGGTTGTTGTGGTGGTTGTATGTTCTACGACTTGATGTCAAATACGATTATTCCCCGCTGGGCGCCCATAGGAGGGGTCGATCCTTGCACATTAATTTAATCCGCCATTGAGCTGATTCGTTTTTCTTTTCTTTTCTTTTTTTAAGTGTATAATAGTTTTGTTGTTGTTGTTGTTGTTGTTGTATTGTTGTAGACGGAGGAGCATCCCACAGTATTCCAAGTAACTTATTGATGGTAGAAGCGGCGCCAAGAGTTTTTCCCACAACGGAATGGAATTTTCTCCACCGCCCAATCTCTGCCTGCTTGTAAGTTCTTTCTTTCCCTTCCTTTTCCATCTTCGCTTCTTTCGCTTCTCCTCCTCCTCCTTCTTCTCCCTCTTGCTTCTCTTTTGGATCTTGTTTCCTTTCTGGTGGAACCCCCCTCCTTCTCCTCCCCCCTCTTATCTCCTGTATCTCAATTTTCTTTCGGTCTTCTCCTTTCCCCTTCCCCTCTCTCTTCTTTTCTCTCTCTCCTCCTCTCCCCCTCCCCCCCCCCCTCCCCTCCCCTCTCCCCAAAGTACGAACCTCCTCCTCTCCGTACAACCATTGATCGATCTTTCGACATCGACTTCTAAGAAACCACCACGATGCCCGCTCCTTCCACCACTCTCCTCATTGAGGGCTCGTTCACCGAACTCGCCGATGAGTTCGCCCAGTACATCGATGCTCTTCGCAAGCCCGACGCCGCCGCGTCCAGTCTCCAGGCCGACATCGCCCCACTGTTGGAACCTCTGCGCCAGCAGGAACAGTCTGGTACCGAACCTGATCGCAAGCAGCGCGATGAGGTTCTGAAGAAGCTGGTCTCCGCCGCTGCCGTCCTGAATGCGGCCCCCGAGAAGGGTAAGCAGTTCTTTGGTTGTTGCTGCGGAACGAAGAAAGACACAAAAGACTTATGACAAATGGACGCAATTGACGCAAACCAGAGATCATCTCCGCCTACAACCTCCTCGTCCACCTTGTTCACCAGGCCTCCGATCCGGACATGTTCCTCTCCCGCATCTGCTCCTACCTCGCCAAACCCATTACCGCCTCTCCCCAGTTCGGTCCCTCCCTGGCCATCTCCATCTTGTCCACCATCTTCAACACCCTCGCTCCCACCGATTCCAGCCGCTACCACGTTCTTCTGGCCATCGTTGCCGTCATCCGCCAGGCCGGTGCCTCGGTCGCATTCGACGCCCTCAAGCCCCAGCTGACCTCCCAGCTGCCTGCTTGGCTCGCCGCTTGGGAGCTCGAGGCTGAGGAGGCCCAGCGCCTCCACCTCGCCATCGCCGATGCCGCTCAAGCTGCCGGTGACGCCGAGCTTTCCCAGTCCCATGTCGTCCAAGCCCTGCAGACTATTCCCGCAGCCCAGGCCTCCAGTTCCGAAGCCCGCGATCTGGCCGTTCGTGCCCTGACTTCTGCGCTCACCTCTCCCGCCGTCTTTGACTTCACTCCGTTGACCGCTTCCGACGCCGTTCAGGCCCTGCGCGCCAGCGACAGCACCCTCTTCGAGCTGCTTGAGATCTTCACCGCCGACACCCTTGACGCTTACGAGGCCCTGATTGCCACCAGCCCTCTGACTGGTATCTCAGGTGGTGTGCTGGCCGAGGCCGGCGATGCTCTGCAGACCAAGATGCGCCTGCTCACCCTGGCCTCGCTGGCCGCTACTACCCCCTCCCGCTCTCTGCCCTATGCCACAATCGCCAGTGCTCTGCGGGTGTCGGACGACGATGTCGAGAAGTGGGTCATTGACACCATCCGTGCTGGTCTCGTCGAGGGTAAGCTTTCGCAGCTGCGCTCCGAGTTCCTTGTCCACCGCGCCACTTACCGCGTCTTCGGTGAGAAGCAGTGGGCTGAGGTGCAAGGTCGCCTGATGGTCTGGCGCCGTAGCCTGGAACGCGTTTTGGGTGTTGTCCGTTCCGAACGTGAGCGCTTCGTGCGCGAGGGGCTGCAGGCGGCCCAGGCGGCTGAGGAGGCTGCTCAGGGCAAGTCCTCCGATAAGGGCAAGTCGGGTGACCGTCGTCGCCAGCAGGGTAACAACAACAACAACAACAACAACAACCAGAACCAGTCTTCGACTCCGGCCGCTCCTGTCGCCAGTGCCCCCGTGGAAGCTGTGGCTGAATAACTGATGAAAGGACGGAAATGCGGGGAAGGATCAATGACTGATGATGAGACCTACATACCTTGTTTTTTTGTCTTTCGACCTACTATCTACCAGATACCACACCCTTCAAACCGCGCAGACGGAGCTAGGGACGAGCTAGAAAAAAAAGACTTAAAAGTATCTCTGTGTCATGGCTGGGCAGCGGTGTTTAACGCTAATTCTTCGTGTCTTTGGATTGGGTGTTTGTAACTGATTTGTGTTTAACGCTAGAATTGTTCTATTTCACTGTCGGATCGAGATGGACGGTTTGATCGCTTGTGGTGTCAGGGGGTGGTGTGCTGTACCTAGAACATGGAGGATGAATCAACCGTCAAGACGACCTTTCTTGTTGTATCTCCGCCCCATGGCAGAGGGACCTCACCTGCGGGATTTGTGCGTCCTTACGGAGGCAATGGCGGAGATCAGGGGCAGAAAACTCCAAAACAAAATGTAGAATCAGGCCGGTCAGCCCAGCAACAAATCTATAACAAGATCGAATCTCCAAAACTATATGCGGTGGAAATAGATATGAATATATATGTACTTCAGAACGCTGACACCATCGACCACACACACATATCATCATCCAAGAGACTGTTAAACAAGTCCTGGAATCTCTGCAACCCATCGCCCATTCTCCTAACGAAACTCACAGGGGGTTCAGACCCTTCTCGCGGAGCCCCGCCCGAATCCTCTCATAGACGTCTCCGACATCGCCGGTAGCTTTCACGGAGACCACCTTACCCTGGGCCGCAAAGGCCTTGACGACGGGCATACTCGTTTCGACAAAGGTACGGAAGCGCTTGCGAATGCTCTCGGCGTTATCATCGTCGCGACCGCTGGTCTCGCCGCGCTTGAGGAGGCGGGCCTCCATCACCTCCTCGGGGCAGTCGAGGAAGAGGGTCATCTCGGAGGGGCAGACTGTGTCCTCGAAGAAGACGGCCTGGTCGAGCTTGCGCGGGAAGCCGTCCACCAGGAAGCGAGGCTTGCTGCCTGCACTGGCGGCCGGGTTCGTGCCGGCAGCCAGTGTCTCGGCCATGGCGTCGGACAGCAGCTTGACGGTGATCTCCATGGGCACAATCTTGCCCTCGCGGATGTAGGTGCGGATGAGCTCGCCGGCTTGGCTCCCTTCGCGGACTTGCTCGGCGCGGAGCAGGTCTCCGGCTGACAAGTGAGTGAAGCCGTAGTCGCGGACCAGGTTGGCAGACTGCGTGCCTTTGCCGCTGCCGGGGCCGCCGAGGACGAAGACGACGGTTGTAGTGGTGGGGGAGAAGCGCGGGGTGGACATCTTGGTAAGGATGGGATTCGTTATTTTTTTGTTTTTTTTTTCCCTTCGTTGTATTTGACTTTCGTTGGGAGGCGAATGAGATTGATTGGTTTCTCCCAAAAGAGAATAAGATGGAGAGACTTTTGTTAAGGGAGCGGCGGGGGCGAAGGTGGGGGGCGGGAGGCGCGGAGGGGTTCGAGTCCTGTAAATCAGGTAGAAGACAAAAATGTTAGTTTGTTTTGGTGGGGGACTGAAGCGGGAAAGAATGGTAAATATAGCACGGTGCTTGAAGGTACTGTACAACGACAATCGATTTACTCACTTAATCTAAACGGTCTCGGATGACTTGGATTTATGGACGCCGGTACGGGACTTTGAGAGTAGAACAAAGGAGCCAGATCCGATACCAATAATGATCAAGAACGGAAGGACTTTGAATTGAGAACGGCTGTATTGAGTGGATTGAGGGGAAGGATGGGGGGAAGAAGTGGAAGAGGGAGAAGGAAAGGAGGAGGAAGAGGAAGAAGAGGAAGAGGACGAGGGAGAGGAGGGGGCGGAATAGGGGCGGCGGTGTTGCAACTGGAGCTGTTGCTGTTGCTGGAGAAGCACCCGAGAAGAGACACGCAGTGGGCGAGGAACAGTCCGGATTAGAGCCGACATGAGATTTAGATTGAGATGAGGATGATGAGAAGCGCAGGAGGAAACGAAAGAGAGAGGGGGATGTATCGGAGCAAGCAGCAATGGATTGTATTACTGAGTCAATGATGCTGTTAGATATCGAGTAACTACAAAGTTAAGTTGCAATTGATTGATTGTAGGCAAAAGGTTGGTCTGCAAGGTTCAATGCAGTTCAGTTCAGGTTTGGTTGGTTTGGTTGGTTTGAGCCCGTTTTTGGCTGACGAGGCTGTTTGCGGACTAGCGCCACGTGGGTAAGTACACCTTGTACGTAGGTATGTACAGTACTAAATATTGAACTAATACGGGCAGCTTATTAGGACGGACTATACACATTCAGGCCTATATTGAAAATATATTCATATTCATATTCATATTTATATTTATATATACACATATCTAGTATGTATGTACTAATAGGTAAGTTATATATGTCTCTCTAGAACAATATTGCCCGCTCAGAATCAATGCATTTGCTAACCATCCTCCACCACTGGAACCTCGTAGTATGCCTGCATACGACGCTGCTTAAGCACCCAGTAGCTGCCCGCCAGGAGCCCGCCGACGGAACACACCACCAAAATGAAAATCAGTAGGCCACCCACCCCGTGAATGACCTCATTGGCCATATTGACAGCCTTGGCCTCCTCCTTGGCCTTTTCATATGCCTCATCGACCTCTTCCACGTCCTCCTCTGGCGCCTTCTGCTTGCCATATAGAATAGCTGGGTCGTCCGGCGTGGGCTTCGCATCGCCTTGGAATCCGGCCAGGCGCCAGTTCGGCGGTGTATGCGTCCGGTGGATCTCTGATGTGCCCAAAACGTTGCCATCCCCGTCCACTGCTTCCACTGATACCCAGTCCAGGTAGCCTTCGGCGATATACATGGTCTCGAAGTCGAACTTGGTGGTGTTGCCGATCAGCACCGGAAGACCCTGCCGGTCAACGCGTGCATAGAAGTTCCAGGATGCAACATCCGTTGCACCGTTCCAGCTGACATGCAAGATGGTTGCCATATCCGTCTCGTCTGTCCCGTAGACCGATGCCACAACGTCCGGTGGTTGGCTAGGCCGACCCACGAAGGGAAATTTGTACGACCGATAAGAAGAGAAGCGCGTGGATGCGAAGTTAGCCTGCATCAGTACCTTGCCGTCGGGACTATGTTCGCTCTGGTAACCCCGCTCGCTCCAACCAACAAAGACGTTGCCGTTGGGCAACCTTTGAACACTGCCACGAAGCCTGGTTAGGTCGCCGTCCGGCCGGTCGTACCGATCAAGTAGGCGGGCCGTCATGGTTGTCGTGTCGACCTGGACGAACATCGCAGCTGAGACCGTCTCCTCTTTCTCCGCCTCATCAGACGCATTGTTCAGAAAAGAGATAGTCGTGTGCGTGGCGTTGGAATCCACAAACCGCGCGTGATGCTGCTTGGAAAAGGTGAAATCCTGGACAAAATCAGAATACTTTCCGCCCAGACGCCAAGTGATGCGTCCGTCCTCGCCGGATATCAAGTAGATCGTGCTCGTGAATCGGGCAGACAGCAGATAATCACCTGCCGCGTTTTTGTCTGCCGCGTTCACATGCACATAATCCCAGCCAGGTTCATTGGATGCCGGCCAGTCGGCGTTTACTTTGACAGACTCATGAATGGGAATGTATCCTAGTGAATTCCACTCGAACAAGACCTCGCCTGTCGCGATGTCCAGCTCGACGAGCCCCCCCGTGACTATCCAACCGTACTCGTTTGGCCGGCCAAGGTCTCCTAGATCCACGTATTCATTCCGGTAGGCGCAAGCTAGTGCTGTCTTCCCGCCGTCGAGGACATTGAACTCATGCATATTGAAGGTCCCAAGATCGTTGGTCACTGCAACTACATTCTCCGGCTCATAATGCTGGTCGAGGATGTAACCATATCCTTTGTCCGCTGCACCGGAGTTGTAGCCATGCTGAAGAATGAATGAAAGGTGAGATTCGTTGTCAATATTGTTCACGGCCTTGAAATCGAATATGTTGCGGTTGTCAAACATGCAAGATCCGGCCCAGATGAGAACCTGATGATCCACACTTGATAAGCTTAGTGCTCCATAGTGTCGAGGCAATTTCAGACGAGCGTTCCGCTTTGTCGTAACAGGTAACAGGTCACAGAGAAATGACACAGCAGAGAGACGGATTCAAGGAGCGATGGAAAATAAGGGAAAAAAGAAGCATGAAGATGAGCACTTACACCATCTGCGTCATAAATGTAGGGTCCAACTTGGCAAGGTTTCCATTGCTTCGTGGGTGCTTCTGGATCAATCACGCCATATGGCGCAACGAACCAATAGCCCGGACTGACAGCCGGGCGATCGTAGTAGGCAATATCGAATTTTAATGCTCTGACCTCCGGCAGCTGATTGATTGTTAGTTAGTCAGTTAGAGACAGACGATGGTCGATGTTAGCACCCTTGCTCATCACTTACCGTGACAAAGGACATCAAATCACTATCAGTCTCGGCTTTCGCGACTACACCTCGGAGAGCAAACAATGACAAGAACCAGAGGAATAACATTTTTAAGGAGTGACTGGGAGAGGAATGATCCCCTCCAAAGGCGACATACAACCAACTGAATGGGGAATAAGCAACGACTAATGAACTCGAGAATAAAGGGCCAAGAAGAGAGAGGGAGAGAGAGAAAACAAAAGAGAAAAGCACGCGGCAGACGAAGGAGAAACGATCAAATCAACCAGCACGGTCGTCACTCGATCTCAGAGCCAAATTCGCATCGGTCGAGGGTGATCATCGGAGACGCTGCCGAGCGGGGAGGGCAAGAAAAAGAAACAGTTCCATCTTTGGACTGTCAATAATGAGGACCTATTCATTTACTCGTACTGACTGGATGGAGTACGTACTCGCCCCCGTATGGAGTACGGCAACAGGAGTAGTACGTAGCAGCAGTGTGTCCGCCAGCAGGAGAGTGTGAAAACCACCACTCTAGAAAGGGAAACGGGATGTGGTCGGGGACAACGCTTCCTTGCAATAGGCTAGAAGCCCGCAAAGTCTGGAAAACACTCCATCAAGCTTGCCCAGGAAAGGTCAGTGACAACGTAATGGCTGAGATGGACGCTGACGATCAAGCGAGGCGGACACTCTTGGCGGCGTTTCGGAAAGTGGAGCTGAGGCACCACAATCCATCCAGATTCGTCGACTGTCACCCCCGGTGCGGAATGGAACACTGGAACGAAACGGACTGGGGCAGTTATGTACAACCAGCAACTGAATTCATTGTGGACTGTAAGTTACTGTACGTATGAGTAGTACCTCATACTACTATGGAAGGGCAAATAGAATCGATTTACTACTTCATATACGTGGTTAAGAGTTAAGTTGTCACCCGTACGGCGATATCTTCTTTGCTGAGATCGGACATCGGACATCGGACCGTGGACATTGGTTACATGTCCCTGTACTTCGTACTCGGTACGTACGCTGTCCATTCGTGACGTTTCAAAGGTCTTGGCACCATAATGGTTAAATTGCCAAAATCTGATTCCAGAGAGAAACACGAATGTAATTACACATACAGTAGCTTCGAGTCACTTGGTTGTGAACCTGTGGTTCTCGCTCAATTCGGGTAAGCAAATGACACTTGAGTTCGTCTACTTGACCATTGACGGCTGATCTATGCCCCAAACTTGACGGAACTGAAGAAGAGACACTGGTCCGCCGAGATCGGAGATGGTTCAAGTGCCTTACGGACCGGCTGCTCTCTCAATAATCTAGCCAATCACAAAAACAAAATGTTCGCAGTCTTCTGCAGCGCATATACATACAAATATACAATGTATAATTCACAGAGAGATGAGGGCTGGAGCCTAGACGAACATAACGACGTGGGCTGGATCCTTCAAGGCTGCTTCACGGTCTCATTCCTATGAAGAGTGGAACCTGTAGAGGCACAACTAGTACGAATCCTTCCAGCTGTCCCACTTGCCCCTTGGCGCACCGTCTGACATTTAGAACTGGCACAGATTGCGCTAAGATAAAACGCACAGTAGAAGCCTTATCAATGTCAACCCTTTCACAACTTGATATCAATCTTTCAAATCTTTCATGCTCAAAGGATAAAATGGTCATCGAGAGGCCCACTAGCTGTGGCGCACGACCGGCCCTTCACCAAGCATAGTCCGCAACCTCAGGCTCCTGAAATATTTTCGGCTTGTATTTGAGAACTTCGGCCACAGCTATCAGCAGCAACCCCTCCGTGCGCTTCACATCCTCCATGCCTAGCTGAGGTGGGAGCCATTGCCCGCACACATTCGTGAGGTTGAGTCGGGATGGATCCCCCGGGCCATCATGTTGAAGCGCATCTGCGATAAGCGCCCATGCCAAAGAACTATAGAGAACTCCTTCATGGGTATAGAGGCCACCGCCGGGCCGATCCCGGCAAATAGTCTGCAAATGGTTGTTGGACACATCTGCTACCGGGGAACCTTGAAGAATCCCAGAAGCTTGTTTTCCACTCATCGGTTGCACAATCTGATCATATGAGGAATAGACAGTCGTCGTGGGCACATAGGCCGAATCGCCTCCGACGCGTCTCAACGCTCGAACAAAGCCTGCATGCCACGCTTGTTGCCAAATGGCAGGAGTGCAGACAACGTTCGAGAAGATAGGGCAAACAAGTGTTGTCTCCACAGTCCCATGAAAGTCGGGACTGATCGCAATCAGATCCGTGACTACGGCGCGCGTGGACGGCCAATACTTGAATGCCCATTGGGTATTGAGACCTCCTTGAGACCATGCTATCACCGTCAGATTACTTTCCGAGAGGGCGGTGATGTAATTGATCGCGTATGCAATATATTCCGAGTTGACTTGGACGTCCCCTAGAGAAGCGGAAGGGACATTAACCCAGGCCATGCTTACTTCTGGTATGGCCTTTTGTAGTTTTGCGAGGTTGGACTGGAACATTGATCCGGCAGGAATGGCCGAGCCAGGAACGAGTAGAACGGGTTTGAGTTCACCTTTTCTCCTGGTAAGATCATCTTGTATGTAAATAGCGGCCCTGAGAGTCTCCTCTGCGACACTATAGGGCACATCTTGAGCAGCTTTCCTAGGATATAGCGGTTGATATGCTAGCACTGGATTTCTGTTGTGAAGCAAGTTTAGTCGAGAGGTCTGATACTGATTGAGTCCCATGAGTATGTCCTGTGACAAAAGTTCTGAAGTGACAATCTTGAGTGCGAGATCGACGAGAGTGAATTGACGACCACTGGCGAAGATCTTCTCGATTATCTTCCAGACCAGGGGCAGGGAGCCATTCCCAGTAATCGGAGGAGCGATATTTCCTGCAAGCCTTGCTTGTACGGCACGGGCGAGATCTGAGACCCGGCCATTCACTCCGGGTTCATGGGTAGCATCTGTCAAGATTGAAAGCAAAGTGGGAGCTGGAGTAGACTCGAGCGAGCAGTTAGCCAAAAGTGTCGGGCACGAGCTAAGTACCCCCACAAAAATGCCAATCAGAAAGCCTGTGCTAAAAAAATACAGAGTCTCATTTTGAAGGTCAGAAAGGGAAGATTGCCTCAGTGCAGAAATTTGTGCCTTCAGAGATGAACCCTGAAAGAACCTGCAGCCATTCGACAGGGCAAGATGCAAGATGTATAAATCCAATCCATGTGTGAGATCCCCTCGTCCTTTTCCCCTCCATTTCCCGGTGCAGTTGGCCTCAGAGTTCCAATACTGGGAGTCTTCTCCTGAGCGGAGTCAATAAAAAGCGAGGGAAAAGAGGGATGTTTCGCCATGGACCAGTCATCAAGCTTGCTAGAACTCAAAGAAGGGTGTCAGCGGCAGTAGTTTGAAAACAGAGCAGGTGATAGTGATATCGAAAACAGCCGCAGCCATTCGTTCAGTTGGCCAGCTCCTATCTTTGAAGCTCAGCACCTAAACAAAGACATGACGTTGGCCGAAGGGCGCCATACAAAACCAGGGCTTGCTCTCACTCGGTCTCCAGGACCCTGCCGCGAGTCCCCTGTAAGCTTGTCATCCGCTCAAAGTTACAGGCTTCTGAGCAACCCGAGCTCAAGCCAGAGCCGCGATGGTCAAATGACCAAGAATGCTGCGCAAATGGTTCGTCGGGCTTCTCGCCTGGGGAGAATATGACGGTCTGTGATGCAAATCCATGCCACTATGAACTCAGCTCAAATAAGTCTGATCGAGAGCTCAAAGAGAAAACTGCCGATGCAAACGAGATTTGCTCGGGATGAAGGTGGCATTGCTGAGTAGGTACCAGGGTCCTTTCAATTGTTCGAGTGGGAGATACCTAACCACTGCCACAATTGCAGCCTTGACTTCCGTCTTTCCGTTGTCGAGATACATGATCATGTACAAAGTACCTCGCTTTATCCGGAGTTAATGGGTCACTATGAATGATGGAAGGCTAGTCTGGAAAAGCTGGCCAAGCACCTGGCAATCCCAGATTCATCCGTAATTTAACTGTCCATCACTGATCACATCAGTCAGTCCGGCATGCGGTGAAACGACGATGAGGATTAGGGGATAAGGCTGAGGAAAGTTGCAACGGAATCTGTACCAGTTCTTCATGAATTCATTCCGCCTGGTCATATGTTGGAAGGCAAAGTCCCCATTCAGGAGAAGTTTCTTCGTGGTAACCTGTACACTTACATGCGGATATATGGCAGCCACTTGAACGAAAGAGAACACGCCCATATGAAAGCCTCGGGCATCAACATGCGCAGAATTATGGTCGCCTTCCTGAATTGGAACCGATATATCCTTATCCTCTAGAGATTTCAAAGCCGAAGCTGAGCAGATACCTGTGCAAGCCGCCCGTGTTACTGCAGTCGACGTTCCCAGATACCTTGATACGCTACATACAGAACTAGTTGAGAGGAGACAGACCTTGACAAGGGATGGTTGTCAACCGCCAGAAGGCTTTAAGCACTAATCAAAGACAATCCTACGCTCACGTTGCCGACGATGTATGTGACTTATGGCCACCGGTCAAGCAACAAAGCTGATTGTTCAATTCCCGCGATGGCCGAATAATGCTTCTCTCGTCTTATGCAGATATTGCACGAGAGGTTTCTGTCAATCCAGAGGGCTGCTTGCTTTACGCCATAAATCGAACGCCTTGCAGGGGGCCTAGATCGTGGATGAAGCGATCTGCTCAGAAGCATGGATAAGTATGGTTACATCTTCCTGGGTAAATGAGGGCAGCAAAATCTCTATGGTTACGGTTGCTTGCCCAGCATGAACCTGGAGATTGCGTTTCGCTGCAATATCTGATGGCATGATTGGGAAGCAAAACTCGGGATAACGATCCTTTTTAGTCGTCGAAACTTATTTTCATCCATATCTGCTTGACTACCATGAAGCTCACTGATGGGCAGGCACATTATTGTCTTGGTCTGAGTGAATAGTGTGAACGAAGCCCCGATAGTGGCATGTTGAGGTTGATATATAAATTACAGCGGGGATACGAGGAAGCTTGCCTACTATGGAGTGTCGAGCATTGCGTTGGTAAAGACGAGCACTTGAGCATCGGCCAGCAGACGTGACCTGACACTAGCAATGATGAAAGTCAGCTGCATCTGAACCAGGACTTCCCGCCCTTGCTACTCTTGAGCTGCATTCGATTCATCCCAAGCACGATGAGAGTCGTTCAAGACTTCCAGTGAACTCTGGCAGGGCTCAACCCTTGGCAGTACGTGTCTCGGTGTCTTGGCAGGGTATCTGGAATGCAGGAGGAAAGTGAAATCAGAGCAAAGTTCGAATTTGGCGGTGGGGATGGGATTGGAGGTAACTGGGGAGGTGTATGTTGAATCCAGAACTTTCTCAAGAGAGAGAGGAACGAGATTGGGGCTGTTCAACGGAGACTTAAGAGAGGAGGGCCCGGAGAAGGGTCGATGAGAATGGAAAGGATCATGCAAAGAGAACTACCTAGTAGCTTATAACTGATAAATGATACAATACCAGGTAGTAGGGGTGATGATTGGGAGGGGAGGGGAGGGGAGGAGGGAGGAGGGGAGGAGGGAGGGAGGGCGGATGGATGGATGGATGGATGGATGGATGGCCCACCGGGGGAGGAAACCGAGGGATCCCTACTCCGTAGCCAGTGTAACACTACACGACGGGATGATTAGTCCGACTACCACCGTTGCACCCGCCAGTGGTCTTTATTGTACGGAGTACAGTAACTAACTACTTCTCCTGAGTCCTGACTAAAAGTGTCACATACCAATGAGGGGCAAAATCTCGAAATGAAGCAGAAGAAGAACGAACACCCAGAAAAGATGGATTGGCCAATGGTCGGGTCTCTGTTGTAACTCAACATCCTCAACAATACCCACGACATTGTCATCGTCATCATAACCTGTCGACTTCCGAGCCAGGGTTTCGGCCTGCCGAAATCGTCGCAGCAGCCACATTGCGACCTCCATACCTGTAAAGTGCCACTGTCGAGAATCCATCGGAGAATGTGAGTATGTGGAGGACATCCGATCGTGTGTCATCATAATCCTCATCCATCAATTGTCCATCGATTGTCCATCGATTTTTTTCCCCAACCAAGAGAGACAGGTCACTGGTATTGGAGATACCAAAACGGTTTTCGAACAGTACGTATCTATGAGCGATCAGTAGTAATCAATCCACTTCATCCAATGCAACACTGTCACACTGCTGATGATCGAGTTCGATTGCGCCTTTGTATCCACTGATTCGCACACGAATGGAACTGCACAGTACTCCGTACAGTACATATAGCTTCTCGTAGTACTTACACAGTAGTTAAGTATAACACATTTATGTAAACTCACAAAGGTTAGTCGTTGCGCCTGTCTGTCGGTTTGTCCTTTGTTCTATCCCACGAAGAAAATTACAGCACACTATCTGGTCACCTTCGAGACAAGACAAAAAAGGTTTGCAAACCCCCATAGACATTCAACTACCAAGAGCAGTAGCTCAGAATATGTATAACATGGGCCAAGCCTGAGCAACCCATTGTGAGACTAATAATATACTACCTTAATCTGTCAGTCACCAAATTATAATCTAGTCCAACGGCAAGGTAGCAATTTGTTGTCTCCACCAGGGACTCAAAATTGGGGAGAAAAAAAAAGTGGTAAGTACCGAACCATACCTACAATACCAGACCATACCAACAGCACTTGCCCTTCCATTCCTTCTGCGTTTCCACTTTTCACCCAAGTACGCAAACAAGCAAACGCTCTCTCTCTCACAATGCACAATTTCAAGTCACTTTTTCCCCTGATACATAAATAACACATACTAAAATCGCAGGTCAATATGTCCCTCCCTTCCTCCTTCCCTCCCTGTTTATCTGTCTGTCTCTAAGCTGTCATTTTCGTTTCTTCCTCCCTCCCCCTCATCCTACCCTGTCTTGGGCATTGCGTACCTCGTACTTTGAGGAATGATAACACGCGCGACGTTGACTTCGCATACCTTAAGAGACTAGAAGTGCCGGTACAACTTGGATTACCATTGCGAACCACACCTTGACCGCTGCCACTAAGAATAATCAATCGGTCCTACTACCACCATTACTATTAAGTTACTACTAACTTTACTGCTACTGATACTACTACAACTACAACAATTACGACTACGACTCCGACTACGACTACGACTGCTGCTGCTGCTGCTGCTGCTGCTGCTACCACAACAACATCCACGACAACCACGACCATCCCTTCACCTTCATCTTCACCTCCCTTCTTTAACTTACTCACCATCCCGCAACTGATTAGCAACTGATTATCACTCCACATCAGCAAACAACGACTACCACCTCCTTTCCTCCCCCTCCTCAACCACGCAACATCAACACTCTCGTCCACCTTCATCTATCCTTTCTCTCACCCCTCTTCCGTCCATCCATCCGCCCATCCATCACTAAATTTGTCTCCCCGGCCCCCTCCCCCTTGCAACTCGTTTGACTTTGGCTCAATCTCCTCCACTCACAGGAGGAAGAGGAGGGCCCCAGCATCCGAAATACACCTTGCTCCTCTCCTCCCCTACTTTTCTCAGAAGAAAAATAAAAAAGAGAAAAGTGGAAGACAGTAATCCGGCATCAGGCTTGACCGTGGTCTTCCGTCACTGATATATCACTACGACACCGATATATTACTGTCTTCTCCGTCTTTTGACTCGTGGTTCACGGACCGTGTCCACTGCAAGCTGCGCAAGGATTTGTGACTTGCCGTGGCGGTGTCACCCTCGATCTCATACATCTGGTCTGCTCCACTGGTGAAGAGAACTTCTGGGGATTCTCACCTCATTGGCCCGGTCGAGTGTACTTTTCGTTTGATTGTCTACTTAAGTGGCCTTTATCCGTACTCACGACTATTTATTTCCGGTGGTGGTTGCGGTGTATAAGGAGCAGCCAAAGTTGATCACGGCCCCAAATTCTCATTTTCCCCTACCTTAAGCTGGACAGCCACTCGTCGCTACTGTCCAGACTCTTAAAAGGTAGACGCAACACCCGCACCATGCCAGCTCCCTTAGTCAAGGTCCTGCACAGGATGCAAGAACTCTTCACCAACATTGTTGCAGCCCTGGAGGCAATGCTTCTGTTCCCATCTCTCTTCCGCGACTCCTCCCGCAAGCGGCGGAAAGCTTTTCAGAGAGCTTATTGGGGACGCCGGACGCTGGATGATTTTGCGAATGAGATTGATCGTCTGCTCTCGGCACCTTTGTCTGTGCAAAACATGATAACAATGTCAGACAAGATTCGCGCGCAGTTTAAGTCCTGTCTTCAAGCCAGCCCAGTATGCATGCTGCCATCCTATAACCATGCTCTACCTTCAGGAGCAGAGAAGGGAACGTACCTGGCGCTGGATGTGGGAGGCTCCACACTTCGTGTAGCTTTGGTGGAACTACGTGGTCACGGGGTCATGCGCACCCTCAATGTGTCTTCTTCGTCAATTGATAATGAGGTCAAATTGCTGGAAGGAACGCTGTTCTTCGACTGGATGGCAATAAAGATTGACGCCATGTTACAAGAGGTAGGCTCAAATTATGGCCGGGGGCATACCCCACTTTCCATGGGCTTGTCCTGGTCGTTTCCGATTGAACAAACATCCATCAGCAGCGGTTTGGTAATACATATGGGCAAGGGGTTTCATTGCTCTAATGGCACCGTTGGACAGGAGCTCGGCAATTTAATTGTCCAATCCTGCAGAGCGCGTGGCCTGAACATTGAAGTGGATGCTATCGTGAATGACAGCTCCGCAACCCTGCTGTCTCACGCCTATGTGGATCCGGCGACTCGCATGTCCCTCATTTTGGGGACCGGAACGAATGTAGCGATTCATTTTCCTGTGCACCAGATCGGATTGACTAAGTTCGGCACCAGACCTCCAGGTTGGTTTGATTACGCGAAACACGTTATCATCAACAGCGAGATGAGTATGTTTGGCGGCGGAATATTACCTATGTCCCGGTGGGACGAGGTCCTGAACAGCACCCATCTTCGACCTGACTATCAGCCTCTGGAGTATATGATCACTGGCCGCTACCTCGGCGAAATCATTCGGCTTATTATCGTCGAAGCAGTGGAGACAGCGCAGCTGTTTGGCGGCAATCTTCCTCACTCAATGCGCGACGCTTACTCGTTTGACACTAGTATCATTGCTTGCATAGAAGCTGATACATCAACTAGCTTAGCCTCATCGACAAACATCTTGCAGAAGGAACATACGTTTACCACACCTCCGTCGGTGGAGGAAATGAGATTTCTCCAGCGTGTCTGCCAGATCGTCTCGAACCGAGCCGCAGGATATCTTGCGACAGCAATCCATAGCATGTGGTGCTTGCGTAATGAGGCAGAGTACCCGGAACTCAGCACTCCCGCCACCGCATCCCTCAAAGAGACGCAGGAGGTGACTGTGGTTGAGAGTGAAGGTAGTCCACTAAGTTTGTCGATCGCCTGCGATGGTAGTGTCATCAACAAGTATCCCGGGTTCAGAGATCGTTGTCAACTCTATCTGAACGAGCTTGTCAAGGAGACGCGCACTTTGCAACTGCCTTCCATCCCGTCGGCGGAACCTTACATCCGCCTTGATCCTGCTCCAGATAGTGCCATTGCTGGAGCCGCAGTCGCTGTAGCCGTGGCTGTCGCGAAGAAAAAACCAGAGTAGTCTTCAGAGGGGACCTGGTCTGGTGAGCGAAGGTGCCTGCGGTATGCATAATGAATTGCTCATTTCAACAATCACCCGGCCTTATGCCAACCTTCTTTGCATTCAAGGTGTTTTCTGCTCTCCTCGGGCGCCGTTGTGTCTGTTGCATTTCCGAATGTGGGCAATTGAACGATTGGTTGCCTCATTACCTGCTCCTTGCTTTGGGTGATTCACTGCCCATGCCATCATCAGGGCTGTATTTTTAATCTAGGGTTCGTTTCCATTGCATATAAGTGATCAATAACCATGCGCAGGATCTTGGAATACCAAGCGGCCAACAAGATAGATGGTTGAGGATTTTTTTTCCCATACACTTTGATGTACATAATCATAGTTAGCGGTACAAGAACTGTGTGATAGGGCCCCTCGGACATATACAACGCCTTGGCTTGTCCTGATCTTCAGGGACTGTTTTTCTCAACTCAAGATCCAGACAGGCCTCGCTGTACGAAAGTGACTACAACAGACCGCGGATTGTGACAGTAACACGTGCACACACACATGACAAAAGGCCACAATTGATTACAACATCTGCACGTATTGTTCTGGGAGGCAGATGAATTACTGCTCCCCACAAAGATCCAATAACAACTCCAGAATCCGCCGCTGCAACTGCAACAAATCTTGCCTGGTAATGAGTGTCTCTTTCTGGCCGCCAAACGGATTCACTACAGTCTCGGACTTAACATCAGCGGTTAGCACCAGGTCTTTTCGGATATTGAAGAATGGAATCCCTAATCCACGCAGCTCCGCAATCATGGCATCGGCCATCTGCCTCGAAGCTCTGTAGACCTTCGCATCGTAGTTAGTCAGCTCGGCTTGATCTTCCTCGGCTGTCTGTTAGTCAAGTGCCACGAAGGCGCATTAGTCCAGTCAGATAAAACCCAGTTCTGCTTGCGTATCCGCGTTGTGTCTTTTTGTCTTCAAGCCATCACGATAACGACACCAGCGCAGTACGTACCGAAATTGATTTGTTATTGTCAACTGGCGCACCGACAGAGCGTCTAGTTGGTCGAGAGTCAGAGAGAAACGATCTCCAGATAGTACCTGACCCGCTCCTTATTTCCTTTTTGTTTCTGGACCGAGGCAAACTGCATCGACCACGGAACATAGAACGACATAGCTTTCCTAGCGACTGTTGGATTCCACTCACAGCACAGCATCGAGCTCCTTTTTCTTCTCCGTTCGCGCTTGCTGCTTCTTCACCAAAGCTTCCCGACCCTGCCACCACTGTTTTTCGTGGTCGTGCTGGCGGCGGATTAACCATCGGATGCGGCTTTGGAGGTTCTCATGCTGGGACACTGTGCGCATGACGTGGCGGAGAGCGGCATTCCAAGTGGTTATGGACGAAGAATCACCACCCGTTGTGCCCTCATGAGTTGTCTGGGCTCGCGGAGGGTGGGTATAACTGGGATTTGGAGAGGGCAAAGCCTTCTGCTGTTGCGCTTGCTGCTGGCGCGTCACGGGAACCGAGGGGAGGGTTTCTGATGGTTCGTATGGATCATTATCTTCGGGGTCATCGGGATGATGTGCCTGAGAATCAGTGGGCGGGACAATGTCCGAAGATGAAGCTGGGGATTGTTGGTTGGATAGCGCAGAGAGGGTTCGCAGAACAGATGTCAGATCGGCTGAGTTGTAGTCCATTGTTTCTTGAGGGAAAGGAGGTATTTATTTCGCAGCCGAATTAAGTAGGTAGTGGTGGGAGGTATTAAACGCGATTTGAAATTTCCTGGGAGAATATCAATATACTATAGATATATTGAATGAAGAACATGGATGGCGGTTGTCGTTGCTGTAGGTTTGAAGAATGAACCTTAGAGTTGAGCCGAAGTGGTGGTCGATTTGGGGGGGGGGGGGCTCGCAGGCTCTCTTTTCTTAGTGTTGCTCTGCTCTTCTTGTTCAATGCAATCGACCTCTTCATTTCCTCCGCTGAAAATTTCCCCGACCCCAACCAAACCTCCGTTTCTTCCACGATCCGCTCTCCATCTGTCTTCAGGGCTTCAGGTTACCGGAGAGGGACCTTTTTGTTGGATTTAGCCTATTGATATTGAACATTTATTTGTTTCGCTCGATTGCCTCCTCCTCCTCCCTCCCCCCCACCACCAATTCTCGAACGAATGAGTCCGGCTTGAGGTCATACCATCATCCACCCATCAATTATCCCCACGCTCCATCCGGCCGCCTCCTTCCCTCCTACCCTCAGTACACCTCTTCCTTTCGCTTGTATCTTCATCAATCCTGATCGGCACATCGACGACTGGCATAATGTCTCGATCCGCCGCCGATGCGACCCGTTTCACGGCCACAGGGCCTTACGCCCACTCGAAGCCTGGTTCCGCGGCTCCGTACAAGCTCCCCGGCTTCATGGCCAATGCAGCTCAACAGCAACAGGGTGGACAGCCCGGAGGCAAACCCGAGACTCCTAAGGAGAAGGTCGAGCGATTGCGAGCACAAGCCCGTGCTGCTCGGTTAGCCCAGTCGACGTCGCGCGTGGATCAGATGATCGACTTTGGCCGTCGATTCGCTAACAAGGCCCACAAGACTATGGTTTATACTCTTATTGCTGCATCGGGTATGTTGAACCGCCTTTCCTCCTCGAGCATGCACTTGAGCAGAAGTTTGCATTTAATACCAAGCTTGCTGCGGGGGAGCTGTTCCCTCTGCGCTCCCTCTCTCCCTGGCCCCTTCTACTTCGTGATAAGCGACAAATATCTATGAACCTCACCCAGCGACTGACCGTAGAGCGAAACAGGCGTTTGCGGAGCCCTCACCGTGTATTCCATTGTGTCTCTCTCTTTATACAACCGCCGTCAGCGAACACTGTGGATCGAGAAGGAGCTACAGACCCTACAGGACGCCAAGGTGGCCTACGTCAACGGAACCGCCACGCCGGAACAGCTGGAATTGCTGAAGAACGAGAAGATTGCCGAGATCTACCAACGAAAGAAAGACGAGGAGCGGCAGCAGCGCCCTTGGAACAAGGCGAAGCAGTACTTATTTGGGGGCTTGAAGGCGGACGAGACCCCCGCCGAGGCAAACCCCAACCCCATCCCCGAGAGCCTTGTCGCGGAGGACAAGTCTCGCGTCCTCGAAGCCATCAATGCCGCGAAGGCGTCCGGTGAGATTGTCGCTCCCGCACAGCAGGGCCAGCTGGACACCCTGGCGGCCAATGCCGAGGATGCTGCTAAGCAGACGACGCGAAGCTGGAAGAGCTGGCTCACTGGACGGTGAAAGGACGACGTATGGAAATCAAGGAAAATACAGGGAAACTCACATGGCGCGCGGGGAGAGAGCAAAGCTTTCTCATACTGTCTGCTCGCAGCATCTCCCCCCGGAAGACCTCTGTTTCATGTTTCGCATGGCATTTTGTCGTCTCTTCCTTCCTCTCTTCTACCACATTTGGGGTTGTGGCGTATCCTGCTTTTTCTCTTCTGGGTGTGTGAACGTGTGTGCGCGCTTCGCCGAGATGTACCAATCTATGTGCTGTTGTTCTATTTGCGAGACCTGCGCAAGTCTCAAGTGTGGTTTTGCCATATCGATGTACATATACATATATTCCTATTATTTTCGTTTTTTTCCCCCTTGATGATCTTACTACATTAGCTACTTATTTGCAGATGCTAAACTAATTCGACACTAGCATCCGCCCAGCTGCTGTGTGAACTATGGAGATTTCAATGATTCAACTGTACGTTTCAGATTGCGTGCGAAACTTTGGATAATTGGATGTAAACCCGAACCAATCGCAGAGGGCGTAAGATAATCATGCCAAACTTTTGATACTACCATGAATCAAGACCCCGAAACCAAGCTACCAAGGGCCACTGACGCGAGCACACAACACCCAATATGTGGACAAGTAAGTGGAAATAAAATAAAATGAAGAGAATCATTATCGTCACCGGATTAAAGGCAGGGAAAATCAGAGCGCCCTGGCTATGGTATATAAATCAGACCATCTCGAGTAAACAGAAGGGAAACCGTCACGCCTGGACTGTCGAAACAGTCGTGATAGCTTATTCAGCAGCAAACTTAGCCTTGGCGGCACGTCTGGCACGAACTGCATCTGCCAAGTCTTCCAAAACAGTGACCGTGGTCTCCCAGTCAATGCAAGCGTCCGTGATACTGACACCCTTGCGCAAGCCGGAGGGACCCTCGGGAGGGACCTTCTGGTTACCCTCGTTAATATTGGACTCGATCATAACACCGATGATAGCATCCTGGCCCTCGCGGAGCTGGTCACCAACTTCCTTTGCGACCAAGGGCTGGTTGCGGTGGTTCTTGTTGGAGTTACCGTGAGAGCAGTCAACCATGACAACCTCGCGCTGCTTCTTGCCATGGAGGGCCTCACGGGCAGCCTTAATGCTTTCGCGGTCGTAGTTGGTACCCTTGTTGCCTCCACGAAGGATAACGAAACCGTGTTCGTTACCAGAAGTCTTTGTGATGGCAGCCAGACCCTGCTTGGTGACACCCAAGAAGCGGTGGGGGTGGGCGGCAGCGCCAATGGCGTCAATGGCCACGGTCAGGTTGCCGTCGGTGCCGTTCTTGTAGCCAATGGGGAAACTGAGACCAGAGGCGAGCTCACGGTGCAGCTGGGACTCGGTGGTACGGGCGCCGATGGCACCGAGAGAGATGAGATCCGCAAGGTACTGGGGGGAGATGGTGTCCAGCATCTCGCTGGCAATAGGCAAGCCCATGCTAGTCAGGTCTGCGTAAAGACGGCGGGAGACACGAAGACCCTTGTTGATGTTGTAGGTCTCGTCAATATCCGGATCGTTGATCAACCCTTTCCAACCGACAGTGGTGCGAGGCTTTTCCAGGTAAGCACGCATGATGACACAGAGGTCGCCGGAGAGCTTCTCAGACAGCTCCTTGAGGCGACGAGCATACTCCAAAGCCGTCTCAGGGTCATGAATGGAGCAGGGGCCAACAACCACGAGCAGGCGGTCATCGCGCTGCTCGATGATCTCAATTGCCTGGTTGCGGCCGGCACGGACGGCCTCTAATGCGCGCGCGGGCTAGGACAATAGTCAGTTTTATATCATTCAAGAGGTTTAGCAGGTTGACGGAGAGCGAAAGGTAGTCTGGTTTCAGGAGGTGGCCCCACGGTGGCTCACAATGGCCGAGAAAGTGGTGCGGAGGTGGTGCGGAAGTGGTGCGGAAGTGGTATGACTCACAGCAGGGATCTCGGTCTGCAGAAACTGGGGGGAGAGAAGGGGATCATATCCCAAGACTACGAGGGCGCAATGGTTAGCAGAGAACGATCTCGGCCGCGCTTATGATGCCATTGTAAACTCACCACGAGTGTCCTCGCTGACTTCGGTGGTGCTGATCAAAGGCATTGTGGTGTAGGGAGACACGCAGAATGTGCTGGGAAAAATAAGGGTGTAGCTCTTGGTGGAGGAGGGGTAATGAAAAATGAATGAACAAGTAGGAGTAGACTTTTAAGCTCTCGTTATGTTGAATTGAATGGAAATTAAAAAAGAGGCTAGAAGCCGGCCAAGGTAGCGAGAAGACAGGAGGAGTTAAGTGATTGAGGAGATGGGGGGAGGGCGAGAAAGAGGGAAGAAAAAACAGAATCAAATTGCAGATTGGCAAGCGGAGTTCAAGTTTAGAAAGAAGAAGATGGATGGATGGATGGAGGAACAAGACGGGGATTGCACCGAGTGGGCCCCGCGATCGGACTGATTCACACAAATGAAAAATTAGGAGCCTCGATTAAGGTTGTATGGCAGGAGAGGTACCAAACCGTATTGACTGTAATGTCCGTGAAACAATACCACACTCTTCCCTCCACTCTTCCCTCGACTGATGTATCACCACCATTATCATACAGTAATGTATATACATATTGAGAGTCCAGAGTCCAGAGTCCAGTCCACAGTTCACAGTCCACAGTCCGGACTCCGTAGAGGCTCCGCGCAGATATCACACCTATTCCGGACAGACCTTAAGTCGTTGGGCTAGGATACGCTCCGACCTGCAGCCAAATGCACTACAACCGGGGTGAGATGGTGACGTCCTCCGTGTTGCGGTCAGCTCAGTAGGTATGCGCATAGCTGAACCTCACCTTGCCAGTGGTGACACCAGAGAGGTCGATCTCGCACAGATCCGAGGCAATCGCGACTCAGCCCTCACCGGCAGCAGTTTGGTGCTGCGTTCCATAGCTGGTCGCTGATGCGCATGGTGTTTTCTCACCGCTAGACTGAAACGTGCCGAACTTGAGGCACTGACAGATTGACCGCCTCGTTGTCAGTTCCTCCTGCAGACGTAGTACAGCAGGAAGCGTGGTCTCGGTGTCCCGGCTCACAGAACTGGGGGTGCTGCCAATGATAATGGATCAAGGCCACACACGTGCCGCAGACACTCATCCCAGCAGGGAACCAGCCAGCTGGCCTTCGAGATACCATAATCCTGCATCAGGCAGAAGAACTCATCCTGATATACCGTTGCATAGAGAGTCGATATCTCAATCTAAATCATGATGGACCGACCTCAGCCCAAATGACTTCGATCAGCCAACTGTCGGTGTAGTGTTGATTGCCTGAACTGGAAGCTATCAAGGTTGCCTTATGACAATATAAATCACTCTACCAGTACGCATCCTAAGACTTTGTTTACCGGAATTGGCCATGCTCCCCTTC